AGATCGTGGCATAGAAGCCGATGGTGCCATATCAGGCTGCAGGTGAGCGTCTGAGGGTGACTTGCAGGCTATGTCCTGCTGCTTGGCCAGATGCCGCCGACCTGCCTGTGGTAGGACTGAAACCCTGCCAGTCCCACAGGTGAGACCCAGGACACGCAGAGAGATCGGGACCCTCAGGTTGGGGACCAGAATATGGTTCAGAGGGGGAGCGCTGAGCTGCGGTAGGGCATGAGGCACGTTTTGGGATGCAAGGGACACGCACAGGGCACAGAAGTGGTTCCTTCATCACAGAATCAGGCTGCGAGCACTCCTGGCTGTGCAATGCTCCTGCACCAATGCTGGATTCCTAAAGCCAAGAACGGATCTTAGGGCAGGCAGTACTAAGAGGACACTTCAACTAACTTCACTCATGGATTGGATCAAAGCACCAGGGGACAAAATGTAAGGATAAAATCTCTGAATGCAACAAATGGTGCCATCCCCCAAGACGTAGTCTGAGAATTGTCAGGAGAGGATGCTCCAGATCTGCTCTTGTGCAGCACGTGGGGACTAGCTCAGGAGGGTTTAGGACAGCTGTGATGCTACTTGGTTTTAATCTGGGCATAAAGCAGGAGACATCCAGCGTGTGGCTATTCAATTTCAAGGTGAGGGACTGTGTAAGCATGAAGAAACACATCAAAACAAACAAACAAAAAAACCACAGGCCAATCCCAAATTTCTCACCAGTGTGGTCCAGAAAGCCAGAGGCCTCCAAGCTGCCTGAGAGCTGCAGAAAAATGCCATGTTCAGAGCCACAGTGAAACACATACCGAAGAACAAAGAGCAGATAGGACAGTCCCATAGAGACCCCACACGGCAGACGGGAAGGGACGGGGAGCACCGGGTGAAGGCTGACACTGGAGAGCAAAAAGCTGGCCAAAAGGAGAGCAGGACAGCTGAAAAAACGCAGCGGGGAAAGCAGGAGGGCTAGGAGCCGGCTTGAGGCGTGTCGGCCAGATGTGCTCCAGCCAGCAGGCAAGCAGCTTGGCACATCTACGCCGTGCAGGAGGATGGCTGGAGCTGCGGGCTCTGGGAGATGAGCAGAGTGTGCAGGGACGGGGTGGCCACAGTGGACAGGCTCGACAGCTCCAGCCTTTTCCCTGGGTCATTCCTCCGCAGCTCGTTCTGTCCCAGGCAGGTGGGAAGGGCTCATAAATCAGAAGAGAGATTTATGGCGGGGCTATCCATAAAGCTAAATGTTGGTCAGTCCCAGAGGAGCTTGGAGGTGGCCAGCACCAGAAAGGGACAGGACAGACTGATGGACAGCAGGCGTGCGGCCAGGGCAGCGCGGTCCCGCAGCGCCAGCCATCACGAGCTCCTCCGTGGGGAGCTAGGAATTTCCTCTTCCCAGGGAGGAAACGGCTCCTATTTTGAGTCTTGCTGGAGCAAAGGACTTCAATTTTTTTCTTATTTTTTTTTTCCTTTTTCAGCTGAGCCTGAGTCAAAGCCAACCACTCCTTTCCAGGGAAGACGCCGAGCAAATTCTGGGAGAGGGGAGGTGGCAGCCCCAGGGCTGCTGGACACCAGCCCGTCAGCATTGATCATGGGACTCTCCCCCAAACCTGTGTCACCTTGACAGACCCGGCTCTCTCCTGCAGCCCTGCTCTCGCCTGGCCCAAGCTCAGGACTGCCCCTGCTCCAGCAAGCACCTCTCTGTCACCACCACGCCGCAGGACGGGAAGCAAGTGCCATTTCCCACACCCAGCTGAGAGGCAGAGACCTAAGGGCGAGCCGCGTGGATGAGGCATGCGAGAAGCATCCGCCTCGGCCCCATTCCCATGAAAAGCTTTTCTCCGTGCTTCGTCTGATATGTGCAGAAGTATTGATTTCCCCCTGGAGTGGATGAGTCACGGAGGAGTGGGGAGGGAGGGGGACGCCGGGACGCGCCGGGTGCTCACGCCTGGCAGAGGCCAAGCGGGAGGGAGCGGGCATTGCCCCAGGGGGCAGGCGGGGAGCTGGGTGACACACATGGCCCCTCTGAGGCCACCTCTCTCCCTGCCGATGCTGCACGGGGATCCCCAGCCCTGGGATAGGAAGGGAGGTCGCTCCCTTCTTCTTCCCAGGGAGGAGGTTGCTGTGCAGGCTGCGGTGAGCTCTCAGCTGTGCCCGAGTGGCTGCGTATCTGCTGCTTGGGAGCAAGTGCTCGTGCTTGCCCTTCTCTCCCATGCATTGCTTGGCTCTTTTGCTGCTGATATCCCAGCTTGGGAATGGGCCAGGCCATCTCCACCACGCCGTGACTCAGCCAGACGAAAGCTTGCTGCAGCATGTGGCCGGGCAGCAGGGCAAGAGGAGCCGCCCTGCGAGGTGGCCAGGGCTGGGGACCTCCGCCTGCCCCGCTCTGTGGTGCAGAAGGTGGGGGTACAGCACGCTGGCCCCTGGCCCTGGATCACCTCCCCACCAAGCTGCAGCAGTAGGCACCATCCCATCCTCTCTGCATCGATGGGAAGGGTGCGGGTGGGCTCCAGCTCCTGAAGTGCTTCTGCTGTGCTCCCCCAGCCAGGGGCAGCTCACCCCCGCACACACGGGTGGGTAATGTGCTCCCCACTCAGCCAAGCGCTCGCACTTGCCAGGTTTCCTCTTCAGGAAAATCTGCATTTCCAATTATTCCCACTCCCTGTCTGAGCAACTTGGTTCTTTCCCAAACGCCCACCTTCGTGGCTCTGCGTGCTTCACCTCTGGAAGGGGGGATGCCTTTTGCAGACAGTGGTAAAATGCTGTGACATTGTCCCTCGCAGGATGCTAGCTGCAGAAGGTTCCCATGGGATGCTCACACTGCCTGTTTGCTCCATGAAGAAATCCATCTGGCACCCCCTGTGGGCATGGCGAGGGCCCCAGTGAGGAGGTTGGGGCCCCGGCTGCTTCGTGTGAGGGCTTTGCAGTCCCTCAGAACAGGGTGCGAAGCCACCAGCAGGGTTTGCCATGGTGGGTGGTGGTCAAACAGGGCTGTGAGGCTGCCCCGAGCCGCTTGACCCTCAGGCTGCAGCCCCAAAAGGTGGCTTTCACCCCAACAAATGCCACATCAAGGCAGCCCCAGGTGGAGGCAGGCCCTGCGTGTCGGGCGCGGAGCGGCTGCCGGAGATGGCGGCATTTCCAACCCCCCCCCACTCTTCCTCCACCAAAAGGAGGGGAAAACAGCCCAGTCATCCTGCAGGGTTGCCACGGTGACACTTTTTGGCCGCCGTGCTGTCCCAGACGTGGAGCTGGTGGGGGCTGCGTGCCGGGAGCTGGGGCAGCTCCTCCAGCCCCGCGCCGGACGGCAGCGCCAGGGTGCCCCGGGACAGGGCCACCCAGCGGCACCGGGCCACCGGCTGTGGGATGCGGCATGAGGGAGGCGCAGCGGGACAGAGAGAAAAAAAAAAATAAAATAAAATACAATGCCAAAGCTTTGCTAGAGCTCGAAGCCTGCAGGGCAGGAGGGCCTTGCAGCTGGGGCCGCAGCACCGTGGGAGCACTGCTGGTTTCCATTTGGTCGCCTTTCGAAAGAGCTGCCTCCCTGGCAGCGGCCCCCCCACACCCCCGGCAGGCAGCGTTTGTTTGCCTGGGAAAAGATGAGCCTCGTTAGCTGTCCGTCGCGGCTTTCGAACTTTAAAGCACAGCAGGAGGACGTTTTATGATGGGAAACTGCTTGGGTGTCAGGCTGGCTGCAGCGGGGTGCATTGCATGGGGGTCTGCCCGGGGGGAGATGTCCCCGTGGTGGTGGAGAGCGGGGACTGGGGGACCTGCTGCCAGGCGCAGCAAGGAGAGGGGGGCAGGTGAAAGGTGGTGTGCCTAAACCCCTCCTGTGTATCGGGAGGATCATTTTCTTCCAAGCACCTTGCCCCCAGGACTCTCCTCCCGCTCGCTGCATGTCCCCCGGGCCCTCATGGCGACCCCTCCGAGCACCCTGCAGCAAGCGAAGCGGCAGCGCCGCGGCTCAGGGCTGCCACGTGTTGCCTTTTGTGCGGCTCAGGTGCTGAGGCAACGCGGGGCAGCCTCTACCTGGAAGAAAGGCAGGCAGCTGCAGGAGAAGGGAGCGGTAAATCACTCAGCATCCGAGCAGGAAAGTGTAAATGTAACAGCCCCGGCCGCCTGAAATCCTCCTGCTCCGAAACAAAAGGCAGCCTCGGTGCCTGCTCCTCGCCCCCACGCTGGGGTCACGCTGGCTGTGGGACAAGGCACGGCGACAGCGTGCACCCCTGGGTTTATCCTGCGAGATCCAAGCCTTTTTTTTTAGACTAAACACTGCCTCAGCCATCGGTGAATCACTGCTAGATCCCCTGGAAGTTTCCAGGGTTTGGATTTCAGAAGCCTGCAGCCGCGGGGCACCGAAATGCCGCGGAAGACAAAGCAAGGTGTGGCGGGCCGTTTTTTTTTTATTTTTTAATTTTCCTGGGGATTACCCTGCCCTCCGCCAGGCTGGGGCTGCAGGGAGCAGAAAGCTGGGGCGAGGGCAGGAGGCGAAGCGGGAGGCGGCCGCAGCCCCGCGGGGCGAGGCGAGGCGTTGGGCAGCGGGGTGCCCTGCCTGGGGCTGCTGCTCCCCACAGCCAGGCGAAGGCAGAGCACCAGGGGAAGCCGGGGGGGACCCCCGAGCCCCCCACTCCCCGATGCAGCCGGGGGGCCGCTGGGGCAGCGCAGGGGGGCGCCAGGAAGGGGCTGGATGCGCGGGGTCGCGCTGCGGGGACCCTGCCCTACGCGCTGCGCCCCACGGGGGATGCTCCATCGCCGTGCCCCCCACGACCCACCAGCGGCCACCGGGGCCCGGTACCGGGGGCTGGGGGCGGGCTGAGCCCTCGGCAGCCCCAGCCCCGCCCCGCTCCGCCCCCGGGCCGAGCCGAGCCGAGCGGAGCCGCGCCGAGCCGCGCACAGGCGGCGGGCAGCGGGCACCATGCGCCCACGGTGAGCTCCGGGGCCGGGATGGGGGTGCCGGGGGGGGGTCCCGCGGAGGGGCCGTGGGTAACCCCTGGGTCTCTGCTTCCCCCGCAGGTGTCCCCCGCGGTGGCTGCCGCTGCTCGGGCTCTTTGTCCTGCTGCTCCCCGCCGCTTCCCAGGAGCACGGTAACGTGCGCGGGGGGCGCGCCGGGGTGGTGGTGGGGAGCTGGGGAGGGTGCCCGGAGCCCTCCCCGTGGGGCGCGCTCGCCGTGGGAAATGGAGAAGGGAATGGGGCGCTGAGGCAGCTCTCCAGCCCTGCTTTCCCCACGGGGCACCAGCCGGTCACGGTGAACTTTCCCTCCCCGGTGGGGCAGCTTCCCTCCTGCCTGCCCCCTCCTCCTGTTGCAGCCGGTCTCTGGAGCATGCGGCGGGTGGAGAGAGGCTGACAAAGGGAGCCCCTGACCCTGCTTGTGGCCCGGGGACCTCCCCGGTGCGGTGCAGGTGGCCTGGGTGGCCCCCCAGAACTCCCTGCCGCTGGGGATGTGTGAGCATCCCGACCCAGGGCTGCTGCTGCGCGGTTTTGCCTCCCCGCAGGGCTTTGTCCTGGGGGCAAAGCTGGCTCATCCAGGTGAAGGCAGAGAGCAGGGGTGTTTCCTGGTTCCTTGGTGCTCAGCTGGGCTCCTGGAGCTGGTAAAATGCACCTGGGGGCGCTGGGCTTGCCCGCGTGCTGTTTGCAGAAGCAGCTGAATGGCTGTGAGCAGTGAGCCGAAACTGGGCAAAGGTGGCTCTTTGGGAAGGTTTGTGCCCCCTGTTGAGCGTTGCCACCCCTCCAGCAGGCTAAGAAGCGTTTCTGATGCCCTTCTCTTTCATCTCCCCGCCAGGCTGGGCGAGAGCCATTGGTAAGAGGCTGCCCAGGGACGAGCGAGCTGGAAGTCAGACAGGTACTGGGCTGTGAAATCGCTGGATTATTTGCTGGAGCACGGCCGTGTGCCATCTAGGAACTGCTGCCTCTGCCTCCAGCTGTGGCGTGCTCTGCCCTGCTTGGGTCGTGTTGCAGGAGCGCGGGGAGAGCCGGGGAGCCTGGCAGGGCAGCGGGGATGCCCGGCGCTCCCAGAGCCCATCGGGAGCACTTGGAGAAGTTCCTCAAGTGCCCCGGGCATTTCTGGTGCTGCTTTCTGGGGCGTGGGCGCCTGCCGTAGGCTCCCTGGGGACCATGGGAACAAAAAGCTCCTCTTGGAGGTCTCCAGAGAGGCAGAATTATTCCGCCGTGAAATCAACTATTTTAAGTCCCTGGAGAACGTCCAGTGCGGCCGGGCTGAGCCGGAGGGCCCAGGACTGTTTTAACAGTGGTTACTCAGAGCAGAAACGGCTGCTCGCGCCCTGCCCACCCCTCGCCGGCGCCCTGGCTCCTGGCATGGGGCTGGCCGGGGCTGTGAGCGAGCCGAGGCCACGTCCCCCTCCCCGAATTCCCCCCCCCAATGCTGCTGCAGCTCAGCGGGTGCACGGCGGGGCTGGACACCCCCAGGCCTGTGTCCCGGCACCGGGCAGTGCCCGTTTCACCCAGCTGACTTGGCCACCTCCCAAGGAGGCTGCGGATCGGGTTTTAAAGAATTCGAAAGCAGCTTGGTGTGTTTTTTTTTTTTTTTTTCTTTCCCCTTTTTTTGTTCCTTTTGGTTCAATGTCCAAGGACTGCAGGGCCTGTTCTGCCAGCCCTCCTTTGTGATGGGCTCCTCGGGAATGTTTGCTCCGAAGGCCGTCCTGGCACGGAGATAACCTTTCTGTTTATCTGCCTTCCTTGCAAATTTGGGGGCTTAGCTGCCTGGAGCTTGGCTTGGCTTTTATCAGCAGATCTGCCGCATCCCCCAGCGTGGCACGCAGCCCTGCAGGGGGCTGGGGTCGGGGCAGCTGCAGGGGGCTGCCCGTGAGCGCACACATGGCGAGGGCTGGCACTGGGTCAGGCGCTGGGATGGGTCAGCAGGGTGAGAGAAACGCACGCTGGGTTTCTCTGCCTCAGATCTACAGCTGGGATGAGCCAGGACATCCAGGTCTTGGGGTCGGTGGCAGCGAGAAGCCCTCGCTGCGACCGCAGACAGCACCTGGGAGGCTGAGCTGCCTCCTCGGCTGGCAACGCAGCAGGTGTCGGAGCTGTGCTGCCGGCACAGAGCCTCGGTCGTGGTTTTATTTCCATTCCTCAGTGCCTCGTTGGTCTCCACGGCTCGGATGCCTCGCGAGCACGAGCCTTCAGAGATAAAGCAGGTGCTGCGCAAAGAGATTTATGGCCCGTGACATAACTGCTTTGGCATCAGCTCGTGGGGATTTCTGACAGGTGGATCTGAGCTTTCGCAAACATTATTTTAGGAATTCCTTCCCCCGGGGGAACGTGCCACGGGCAGCGCCCGCGGGCGCTGATTTACCTTGGGGAGAACTTCTCATTGAGCACCTGAGGCGAGGCGCTGCAGTGAGCGGGGCTTTCTCCCTTCCTGGAGCTGATGGGGATGCCGGGGGTCTCGGACCTGCTGTGGGCAGCACCAAGGCCGCTGGGACGGGGCTGATCAGCGGGGGAGGATGCTGCTGTGCTCGGGGGATGCCGCGGGCTCTTTTCCCTATATCAGCTGGCAGGGGTTTTGTTTGCCAAACCTTATCTCTCCGCCGTGGGAGCCGGTGGGGAGGGAGAGAAGGAGAGCCTGCGGGCTGCAGCCAAGCCTGGGGACGTCTGTCCTGGGGGCTGTGTGTCTGTCCGGCCGCTGGGATGGGTGCCCATGGTCAGTGATGCCTCGGTGTCCTGCTCGCCCAGCCCAGGAGGCTCCTGGTTAGCCCACGGGCAGCGACCTGGTGTCCCCGTGCTGTCACCACCCGATTTCTCCCCCCCTCCTCTGCCCAGGCTGCTGGCAGGGCTGCAGAGAGCGGCTGCCAGACTGGATGGCCCCAGTGTCGTGGCTCAGTTTGTTTTGGGCTGGAATCTCAGTTTAAAAAGAGACGAGCATTTCCACAGAGTGGCTGCACTCCCAGGCAGATTTCTTTGCTTCCGTTGATGCAAGTGACCTTTTCAAGCCCCGATCCTTACTTTCTCTGTGGTTTTGCAGCTCTGTGTCTGGACTCGGTCCACCCGCAGCATCCTTTGCACAGCGCTCCAGCTGGCTTTCAGGTTTCTGCAGGGAGGGAAGGAGCTGAGCCCTCGTGGCCCCGTAGGGCCATGGGTGCACCTCTGGTGGGACGGAGAGCTGGGCTGATGTGCCCCACGGCTCCTGGAAGGCTCTGCGGTGCCCTCCGAGCCCTGCAGAAGTGGTGTTTGTGCCCTGAATAGCAGCCTCCTTGGCACCGCTTATTATTTATTTTGGTCTCGGCTGCAATAACCTCTCCTGACAGTTTATTTCGATACCATTTGGGCGTTGTTTAAACAGCGAGTCCGAGCACTTAGAGCAGACAGGCGTGGAGGAGGAGGGATCCGGAGCTGCGCAATCCGTGAGCGCAGAGCCCTGGGAGGATGCTGGGCACTGCAAGGATGTTTGGGACAGCCCAGGAGGCAGGGAGCCATGCAGGGCAATGCCTTGCTTGCACAGCACGGGGCTGGTGGCAGAGGTTCCTGTGGTGCAGGCTCCTTTCCTGCGCTGCTCTGTGCTCTTCGGGAGGACGGCCTGAGCCCTGACGTAGCAATCCTGGCGAGTGTGCTGCGCCTCGTCCAAGAGCTCCATAGTTTACCAAGAACAGAATTAATTCTGGCATCTCAGAGCAGAGTTCAAAGCGCTGAAGGAGACGTCTGGGCTTAAGTATCGGATGTGTATCAGCAGCCCAGAGGTATGGGATTAATAAAGCATTTTAATGATCTTCCACCGTATCTGATGACATTTGAGGAAGCACTGGGAACGAGCCGCTTCCAAGAGCATCCCCTGCATCCCTTGGCTGCTCGCGCAGCCTGGGGTCTGCCTGGCACGGGGGAAACAGGGGAAAATCCCAGCTCCTGGCACTTTGGATGGAGGAAGGTGTGTGGTAGCAGCGCGCGTGTGTTTTTGGCGTTCAGCGGAGGGCTTGATTGACCCAGAGAGTCCCTTGCCAGAGATGTAATTGAAGCAAGGAGCTGAGCAGGATTAGGAACTGGCTTGGACGTCTGTGCAGTTCCTGGGGGGCTTCCAGAGCTTGCAGGGACGGGGGGGAGCATCCCCAGGGACTCGTGGTGCTCCCAGCCCCGAGCAGCAGGGCCGCTTGGCAGCAGCATCCCCAGCGCCGGGGCCGCCTGGGCGAGCAACATCTGGCCCGCAGCATCCCGCGTCTGCCGGCCTCCAGCTAACAAGGTTGCTCGTGTGGAATTTTTATTGCTGTTTTTGGCACCGCATCCCGGCCCTTATGCAGGCGGAAATTTGTCATTAGCGAGTTTTATTGTATTTCTGGTTTATTCCCAAGCTCGGCCGGCTGGTTTCTTCCACCCGGGCCCAGGGGACTGAGGGATGCGGCTGTTCCCCTGACCCCGTCCCCGGGCTGTGGGAGGCTGCTCACACGCAGGAGCAGGCTGGGATGGGAACAGCAGCCAGGGCACCTGGAAATGCAGTCTGTGCACCACTGCTGCTGGCATAAATCCCCAATTATTGCTTGCCCCGTGAGCCCGAACGCCCTTGAAGCCATCCCCGATTTTATAATTCACAAGCAAGCCGCGTGCCTGCCCCCCCGCTAAGCGCCGTGGTCAAACAGAGTTTCCTCCCGCCTTCCTCGTTAGGCTGCGAGTTAATTGAGTCGGGGCTTGTTGACTTTGGGATAAACGGCACCTTTTTGATAACCCCAGATAAGCAGGCGAGGTACGGCCGACGGTGCCGTGTTCGGGGCCCTGTACCTGCTCTGCTGGGCGAGAGGCCGTGGCTGCTCTGTGGCCCTCGTGCGCCCAGGAGGAACCAGCTCTCTGCTCCCGCCTGCCTGCTCCTCTCGTGGGGACCTGGTGGCCACCCAGCCCGACCTGGTGGCCACCCAGCTCCCACAGCAGCCAGCCAGGGCTGATGTTCACAGCTCTGTCCCCTCTGAGGGCTCAGCCGAAAGAGTTAAGGCAAACATCCCAGAGGGGCCCCCAAAGGCAGCCCTGGAGGTAATAATCTGCTCTCAGCTCTTTTCTCCCCTCTTCCCCTGCTAATTGTGGCGGGGACGTGTCCCCTCTCATGAAAGGCTCTTTTGTCGGCGCGTTGCTGGGCAAACCCCGGGCTTGGCACCCGGCTGCGGGGCCGCGGCCGAGCCTGCTGCAGGTAGCTCCGGGCACAGCACCGTCCCTCCTGCCTCCTGCAGCACCTCCGCCAGCCTCCTTCCCCCGGGGCAGCTCCGGGGCCCCAGTTCTTGCCCCGGTGCCGCCTGGGGAGTGGAGGGGAAGGTCAGCCGCCGGTCTGGCCGCTAATCCCTTGGGAGCGGTATTTCGGGTGTCCTGGCAACAGGATTAGTGCAGCCCGGGAGGAAGGACACCCGCTGGCGGCTGGATGGGCTCTGGATGTGTCTCGGTGGTGCTGTTCTGCCCATGAGGCTCTGGCCGTGCTCTGCAGACCCCCGTGCGCCCTGTGCCGCGGCTCTGAGGGATGCTGAAGGTGGCTCTGGTGGGGTTTCCGAGTGTTTTATCTATTCGTTCCGGCTGTGGACACCTGTTTGTGTTTTTTAAGGCAAAAAACGATAGAAAAAAGAACGTTGAAATGAGGGGAAAAAAATCGGTGAAGTATCACGGTGACGCTGCAAGGGGGGGGGGGGAATGTAGCTGTGCTGATTTATGGCTTTTTTTTTTTTCACAGGTCACTGCTAGCATTTGTGGAATTGGCCTTGCTGCAGGAAAAACTGGTTTTCAGCATTCCCGTTAGGAAGGAACTCGAGTGGTTGTATAATTAAAATGCAGGGGGAAAAAAAATCCCGCAGCAGCTGCTCGTGGTGCTCAGGGCTTGTAGCCGCCTCCCGCGTTTGTCCTCTGCTCGCTCTGTCCTTGGCGGTGGTGCCCTCCCTCCAAAACCAACCCAACTGAGAAAAAATAATCCATTTTTCAACCGGGGCAATGTTAATGCCGATTCCGAGGCATTTTCCAGGGGTTTTTATCACCTTGGGCAGGTCCCATCCCGAGGGCACGGGGCACAAGGGGGCAGCTCCCCCAGACCCTAACCGGGTGCGGAGCGGGACCACGCTGCTCCCCACGGCCCTCCTGGCCCAAATTTGGGGGTTTTGGGGGGCTGAGCAGGAGGCAGTCCCCGAGAACCCGCGGTATGCAGGGCCGGCGGGGGGATAATTGCCAGTTGTCAGCCGGACAATGGTGGCATTGTGGGGCAGGAGCGGGGCGAAAGGGCCCCGGCTCCAGCGTAATGTTACTTTTCTATTTACGTTGCCATAGTCTGCGCTGAGAAATGGCCCTATTCTCTCTAATCCTCCTCTTCAGGCATGCCTGCTGGTTTGTGCTGTGGGTTTTTTTGTTTTTTTTGGTTTGGTTTTAACCCTTGCGGTCCTGGGAAGGCTTGCGGTGACCGCCGGTAGGCTGCAGGGAGGCTCTGCCTCTGCCCCAGTCCCTCCTCCACGGCCACGGCAGAGCAGCGAAGCGGCCACCAGCAAAACCAAGCAGCCTGGGGACCCCTCCTGTCCCAATTTGTGGGTTCGGCTGTGGCTGGCATCAATTTGTCATCGGACAAATTAACTCCAAGGCATCCAGCCCTGAGATGCACGTAGGCAGCGGGGCAGGTTCGAGGGCCGGGTGGTGCTTTCCCCGTCCCCTCACACGGATGCAGCGAAGGCTGCTCCCAGCATCGGAGCCCTTGTAGCTGCCCGAGTCCTGGCTCGCCAGCGGGGCCGTGCCAAGGTCCAGCGTGAAGCGCGGTGACCTTGCTGGGCCGACAGCCCCGGATGGGACGGGGACACGCCGCCGAGGCGGGACGTCAGAGCTCGGCCGGCTCACGCAGCGGAAACTTTGGAAAGATCAGGAGAAGGATGCCAAAGTCAGCAGCACAGACCGGGTATTGTCTGAGGAGCGCGGAGAGGTGGAAGAGGAGCAGACAGGGAGCCTTGTTCTCCTCCTGGGCTTCGGGAGGCTCCAAGACAAACAAAGCCCCGGCGCTGCAGGGGTCAGCGCAGATACAAGAGGGCAGCCGGGCGATTGGAAGATGGTTGCTGAGGTGCAGAAAAGCCCTCCCCACTCCTTCTTTTTCTTCCCATTGCTTAGCAAAGCAGCGCTTCCCACCACCTGGCCCGGCAGCAGAACGGGGAGGCTTGCTGGCTGCCTGACGGGCCGGCCAGCTTGGGTTTCCTTCCTGTGGGCTGAGCTGGTTTTTGCGTGTCCAACCCGCTTGTGTGCAACACAGAGGGGTCTCGGCTGTGCCGCTGTTCTCCTCTGCACTGAAGCCCTGAAAACAGCTGGGGACGGGGAGCTTGAGGCTTTTGTCAGGCATCTTTTGGTGCTGCTCCTGCTGCTGCTCTGCGACATTGGAGACGGCATCTCGGCGCGGTGCCCTTGTGGGTGCCTTGGAGATGCGCTCCCAGGAGCCATGTCCCAACACCTCAGGCTTCATTTTCTTCACGTCTGTGTGATGCTGGAAGGCTTTGTCTGAGCTCTGGGGCACCCACGGGCACGCAGCTCTCACCTACATGGCTCTTCCTCCGCGTCTCGGCTTTGCTTTCTGCACGCTGCAATGGCACCGAGTCAGCTCGCGAGCCCCTGCCCTCCTCTCCCCTCCGCAGAGGTCTCCCTGCTCTGTATTTCCAGGTAAAGACGTGCCTGGGAGCAGTGCTGGGTGGGAAATGATACCCCCATCACCGAGACGCTTTCCTGGGGGGGGTCCTGAGCTCTGCTGACCGCTGGAGCCCCCCAGCTGCTGGTGCTGGGGCAGGAATGCCAGGAACGCGATCACGATTTGAGGCTTCCCGGGAGGTCGGGCGGAGGAGCTGTGACCTCCTGGCCGTGCCGTGGGGAGGGGGATGCTGTGTGCCCCCTGCCGGGGGCATGGTGGAGTGGATACCGGCTGCTGGTGGTGAAGTGGGTGAGGGCAGTGCTGGGTTCGAGGCGGTTTGGGGCCCGGGTGGCTCCGCAGCTCCCCTCCTCCAGGGAGCAATTTGTCTGCAAGGTGATGTATTGCCACGGGGGAGCGGGGCACATTCCTTCCCTCGCCTCCTCTGCCTTATCTCCCGGCTGTCGGGCGGCCCGGAGTGATGGGAAGCAGAGCTGGTGCCCCCCCGTCCTGCGCCCCGCTGGCTGGTGGATAAACCAGGATGTGGGGGGGAAACGGAGCTGCCCCTGCATTGCCACCCTCCCCTCGGACCGGGGCTCCTGCTCTTGGTTGGAGGGTAACAAGCTACGAGGCAAAAATGTGGTGGTTTCGGTGAGACTTGACCCATCCCGTGCTGCTCCCCGGGGGCTTGGACCCACTGGGATTTTATTTTTAGGCTTGTCAAGAGGATGGCAGACAGATTGTTTGCTCTGCGGCGGCCCCGCCGTCGGAGCTCGCTGTGCCGCTGCCACAGCCCGGGTATTTCCCATGAGGGCTGACAAATTAAAAATACTCCTTCCATGAGTGTCCCCGGTGCCCCTGTGAGCTGGCTGGGGTCACGGCAGGAGGTGCAGGATGCCAGGGCCAGGCTCGGGGCACTTTGGGTCCGCCTCATGTTGGAGGTGTGCGGGTGCCCTGCTCGGGGTGAGTCCCCGTGCCGCAGCGCGCCGGGGCTGCCGGCCTGCTGACACCGAGGAGTTTTGTTCTCCCCTGGATGATTTGATGGCTCCCCCAGGCACTTGTGACATTTTAATGGTTTATCTTATCGAGGAATTCGCTGGGAGGAAGTTTCTGTCTCTCCATGAGTAAATGTTTAGGAACGCCGCGGTCCCGGGGGCTCGACGGTGCGGCGTGGCCGCGTGGGGAGGCCGCTCCTCCCGAAATGTGCTCCCGAAGCCACCCCCTGCGTCACCGCCACGGCACCCTGCTGCCTGCTGTCACGCAGGATGCCTTAGGGAATGCACTTGCACCCGTGCAGCACCCCTTCCTGCCCCAAAAATCACCGCTGCACCGAGTTTGTTGGGACGGGGTGGGAGGGAAGGATTCTGCCTGTGCGCATCTCGGGGGGATTTGGGCATCACAAGGAGCCACACGCTGATTCTGTGGGTTTCGGCTGGTCCTTGAGTGGCTTTGTGCTTGGTTTCGTCCTAAAGCCAGCCCCGGGTCACTAGCGGGGGATGCTGGGGGTGTGTGAGCCCAGCCCCTGGCACAGCTGTGTCCTGCCGTCCGTCCATCCGTCCGTCCCTCCGCATGGGAGGTCAGCGGGATGTGGCAATATCCTCGGGCCTCTCGCGCGTGTGTCCCCGTGAGTGCCTTTTAACTGCTGTTTGTGTTTGCGGATGAGGAAGAGATTAAACTGCCAAACATCGATAGGGTTTAAAGATACCATCTGCCTCTGACAGTTGCTGAATTTTTTCGGCTTGGTGCCTGAGTGCTCCCGCCCCCAGCGTTCCCCGTGGGCCGGCGCTGCGGTTTCGTCCCTTCCCCAGCAGGCAGATGGGGCAGCACCGCTGTGCGCCCCTATTTCCAGACCCTTTCCAGGGTATTTAGGGCCGTGCAGGGTGCTTTGTCAGGGGTTAGCTGGCCCAACTGTTTGGCAGCCACGATTTTCCCAGCCAACTCCCCCGTCTCTGGCTCACCCCGCCACGTTTTGTGCCCTCTGGAGCTGGGTGGGAGCTGGGTGCTTTCTTGTGCCTGGCGTTGGGAGCATGCAGCGCTGCTGCTGTCGCCTCCCCGTGTTAATCGGGTGGGCTTCCTGCAGGCTAACAAAGGAGCCTGCTGTAAATAAAGCGAGGGCAGGCTTTGGAAAGGTTGCAGGGCTGTGGTGTGCTGGCATGAGGCAGCTTTGGCATCCCGGGGCTGAGCTGTGCATGGGATGGGGTTGGGAAGGAGACGGGGCAGCCTCATGGCCCCATGGGTGCTCCAGCAGCAGGGTGCACGCCCTGAAACCATCAAAACGTTTTGCCACTGCAGAAAGGAGGCTGGCAGGGGCTGTTATCCTAATCCCCTGCACTTACACATCCCTAGCACAAGCTCGGTGCGTGTGGCAGGGAGGAGGAAGGTAACTCCTCATCCTCCACCAGGAGCGACCCCAGGTGTCCTTCCTGCTGCTCCTGGTGGGGCACGGAGCCGTGCTGCTGCGGGACAGCTGCTGGAGCATCCCACAGGGCTTCTCTGAGGGCATTTTCAGCAGGAGTCAAAAGCCAGAGAAAGGCCCGGGGAGGGGAGGAAGGAAGCTGTGGGTGAGGAGGGGATCCGGTTGCCCCACCAGCTCTGCCCGGGCTTGCTCTGCTAGGAATGCCGATGGCTTCAGTCCTGGGGGGCTCATCCTACCCCAGCTGGAGGGCTGGGGGGAGCCTCGGCGCTCTGCTCGGACCTGGGGCTCCCTCTGCTGTCTGTCCATCCGCCTGTCCATCCATCCGTCCGTCCGTCTGTGCCGCTCGCTGCGCTCAGCTTGTGGTGGGGAGCGGCCGGTGCGACGCCGCGGGGACCTGCTGGGTGTCCCCGTGTCCCCAGCAGCCACCCAGACCCGCAGGATGGGGGCTGCTGAGCTCCCCGTCCCATCCCAAAACCCTCCAGGGTGAGAGCTCAAAGAGCGATGGCAGGAGGCACCAACAAGCCCCATGTGCTGCAGCTCCAGAGCAGCAAAAGCAAATATTTTCCCGGCCGGGTCCCCTGTCCCCTGCCGCAGCCCCGGGGCTCCCCTGGTGCCCTGTGGGTGCTGGAAACCCGCTGGCTCAGCCCCGAACGCGGTTACTGGTTAACCACGGGTGAGGAACTGCAGGTTGGAAACCATGGGGCCGGGCTCTCCAGCTTTTCTTCCCCTGTGCACGCTGCGTCCCTGCTCCCAGCCCCAGGATCCGCGCTGCGGCTGCGCGCTCGGTGCACCC